AAAAAAAAATTCCCTTGAAAACCACGAACACAACGAGGTGGAGAAGGGGGCGTAAAGGACCAGTTGCAGCAGGCATGCCAGTGGGGGGCAGGGGCCTGGGGAGTGGGGGGCGCTTCTCGGGCTGGAGGCCAGCTTCTGCTCCAGCAGTCCCTTCCCAATGGGGGAAGCAACTCTAGTTTGTCCCTGGTGTGTGGGGTGGGATGAGAGCATCTTATCAAAAATGGTTTGGGTCTTAGAACTGAACTTACTCTATGACTACAGGAGGAACACACCTATCTTCAATGGGACCTTGGTCAAGTCATTTCCCACCTCCTGGCCTCCAGCTTCCCTAAAAAGGAAATGGATCACCCACCCCTGACATTTTGTGACTCCCAAGCTAATCAATATCAAAGGGGTTTCACTGCCACCCCTAACCCAAGCCTGCACTGCCAAGGGAACCAAGTGAGACCCTCCTCCACTGCCCAGATGCTGGGAGGGACGCGGGAGTTGATGGAACTCCAGGGCCAGTGACCCTGGAGAGATTCCAGCCTCCACCCTCAGTGTCTCAGACCTCGACGTGCAGTAATAACCTGGGGAAGTTGGGAGGTATCAGCAAAGCAGAGGCCTAATCCCACCCTGGAGAGGACATCGCAGGCAGGAGCCCAGACCTGCACAGGTGACTCCACAGGTGAAACTGATAGGGAAGGAGGGGGCTTCAGTCCACATCTTGAAGAACACATGTATTTTTTTTTTTTTTTTTTTGGCCACACCGTGCAGCATGCAAACTTCCCCGACCAGGGATCGAACCTGTGGCCCCTGCAGTGGAAGCGCGGAGATTAACCACTGGACGACCAGGCAAGTCCCTGTATTCTGGCTTAATTTAGAAGAGTATTACCTGGAGAAAGAGGGCTGGGATAGGAGATTCAGACAAAACCAGAGGAGTGGAAGGGAAGTGCCTGCTCCTCCAACCTGGATTCCAGAATAGTCAACACACCATAAACATCTACCAGAACTAGGAACCCACAGAACAGGACGCAGTCGCTGCCCTGAACTCAATGCAGGGACGCGTTGGGCTAACAACATGACTTGGTAAATGCAGTCCTGACACGGCTGCTCCCTCTGTGCTGAGCAGGCTGGGGAGAGGTAAATGAGCATCGTAGCTTTAAGTAGCCACCAGGACACTAAACCCAGAGGCCACCATAAGCTCCGCATGGTACTTGGCCTCTCCACCGTAGTTGACACATCTGCCCATCCCTCTCACCATGTCCCCAGCCTCGTCCACACCAGCCTTTCCCTGGGGAGGCCACCCCCGGAATCTCCCATCTTCCCACTCCATCCTCTCCCTGGAGAGTTCACCAACCCACCCACCCCTCCACCCCCAGCTTCAATTCCCATCTCTACAAAAATGACTCCAGACTTTTATCTCCAGTCACACCCTTCTTCTGAGCCTGGCCCCCAAATACCCAGCTGCTCAATGACACCCCCACTGGTGCCTCAAGCATGTCCAACTCAGCACTTAGAACTTAAAGCCTCACCCTCCCTCCTGGGTCACCCCCTCTCAGAGAATGGCTGTATCGTTTATCCGGTTGATCCAAACCTGGGACCATTCTTGCTTCCTACCTCTCCCCAAATCCTCATATCTCACCAATCCACCTCCTGGGAGATCTCTGAGATCTGACCACTTCCAGGTGGTCAGAGGCCCTTCAGAGTCAGTCCTCTCCCACTGGACCCCTGCAGTGACCTCCCCACTCACCCCACTTCCAGTCCGTTCCGTCTCACACATCCTGCATACGAGCCAGGGTGACTTTGCAAAAGTCCTGTCACCTTACTCCTCTGACTGAAATCTTCAATGACTTCGATGCCCCTAGTTAGGATAAAGCCCAAAATCTTAAGCAAAATTTCCAAGGGTCTGCCTCTTTGTCCCTAACTGTGAGTGCTCTAGCCATTCTTGTTCCTCGAGAATAAACTTCTCTCCTGCCTCAGGGAGGACGGAGCCTACAAGCAGTGCTTCTGGAGCTGTAATGTGCACGTGAATCACTAGGGAATGTTGGTAAAATGCAGATCCTGATTCAGGGGGCTGCAGTGAGGCCTGAGAGTCTGCATTTCTTTCTTTTTTTTTTTTTTTTTTTTTTTTTTTTTTTTCTTGCGTTATGCGGGCCTCTCACTGTCATGGCCTCTCCCATTTGCGGAGCACAGGCTCCGGACGCGCAGGCCCAGCGGCCATGGCTCACGGGCCCAGCCGCTCCGCGGCATGTGGGATCCTCCCGAAACGGGGCACGAACCCGCGTCTCCTGCATCGGCAGGCGGACTCTCAAGCACTGCGCCACCAGGGAAGCCCGAGAGTCTGCATTTCTAAGGAGCTCCCCAACGAGGCAGGTGCAGCTGGTCTCTTGGCCTCACGCTGAGTGATAAGGATCTAGAACACTGTCCTCCACCTTGACTGCACTTCTGCTTCACTAAGTCCTACTCCACGCTCAGGATTCAGCTTAAGCGTCACTTCCTCAAAGCCCTCCCTGGCCCTCTCCAAGGCTCGATTAGATCTCCCCTCCACAGACCTCATATTGTCTGAGCCATGCTGTGCTTTTCCCTTGGAATATTCATCACACCTAACTGTCCATCCCCCATTCTTGAAATTATTTTTTCAACTTTTGTCTCCGTAGCTGGATGACAAACTCCAAGAGAACAGGGATCATATTGTCTTGTTGCTCCTAGGTGCCCAGTGCTCAGCACTAGACCTGGCACATGGTCAGCACGTGTAGTAGAAAGCTGTTGGTCTTGCCTGCGTTGCATCCGTTTCCTCTTCCTCTCATTGTAGCACCTTCAATTTTCCTTTAAACCGCCACCCCTCCCCCATTATCCGTTCTTACAGTTTAGACCAGGGGTCCCCAACCCCCAGGCCGTGGACCGGTACCGGTCCGCGGCCTGTTCGGAATCGGGCCGCACAACAGGAGGTGAGCGGCGGGCGAAGCTTCATCTGTATTTACAGCCGCTTTCCATCGCTCGCATTACCACCTGAGCTCCACCTCCTGCCAGCATTATGGTGAGTTGTATAATTATTTCATTATATATTACAATGTAATAATAATAGAAATAAAGTGCACAATAAATGAAATGCGCTTGAATCATCCCGAAACCATTCCACCACCACCACCACCCCCACCCACCGCCAGTCTGTGGAAAAATTGCCTTCTACGAAACCGGTGCCTGGTGCCAAAAAAGTTGGGGACCGCTGGTTTACACGGTGGGCAAGAGACCCAGCTCTGGCCAATCAGAGCCTTCCATCTCTGAGATAGACATGTGACCTAAGCCCAGCCAATGAGCTTCCTCCCTGGGACTTTTGTTAGAACTACTGGGGGAAAAATGATACTCTTCTTTCCACTGGAGTTACTTAGCAAGTAGGAGCTACTGTCACCATCTGCCACCACAGAGCCAGAGCTTGACAAAGGATGAAACACAGAAGAGAAATGGTAAGAGACGGATTTCGTGGATGCAGCCGTGCCTGGAGTCTATACTTGCCATTACGAAGGCAATAAATTTTCTTTTATGCTTAAGCCAAAGCGAGTTATGTTTCTGTCACTTGCCACCAAGAGTTTTGACTAACACAACATTCAAATAAATATTGGGTGTTGAGTAAATTAAATGAGCACGTAAGTAAAGCCTGCCAAGAGAACTCAGTGACTCCTGCTAGGAGACTTTCAGAATTCCTCCCTGCAAACCCCCACCATCCATGAGCAAAGAGACAAGCATCCCCCACCCAACTCTGCAGACCAAGGGACTAAAACTCAGAATGGCGATATGTCTCAGTAAAACCCTGTGCAAACAAGCCACCCCAGCACCCGACTCGGATGCCAGCACTGTGACTAGGCTGATGAAGGTGGTCTGGCTCTCAATGCCCCCGGGTACCCCACCAAGAGGAGAGCACAGCTGTCTTCTAGGCCAGCCCTGCGCCCTACCCACTCCTGCATTCCTAATTCAACCAGGACAGGCGCTGACTGCCATTCTGTGATACTCCCCCTCAGTTCTGTGTGTGATGGGCATTCAGTGCGGGATGATAATGAGAAGATGGCTTTTAATCTACCTCCTTTGAGGGTATCACTTTGCAACAGATTAGGTCAGGGAAGAGGGGGTACAACAGGGACTCCCAGGAAAGAGATACCTAATTATTTCCCCGTGAGTCACCTTGTAGCAGAACCCCAGGACCTCAGATGACTCAGGTGACGTCTTCAGACCTAGTCCTCACCTGGCAAAGTGTGAGGGAGGTGCATTGCTGCCTAGGCAGGATTACTGGCAGCCCCCTCAGGGTCCTGGGATGTAGTCTCCCAGGAGAGAGACTTGTGAATGAAGTGCTAATAGGGAAA